TAGATAGATAGATAGATAGATAGATAGATAGATAGATAGATAGATGTGGATGGACGGATGGGTGGATGGATGGAGATAGACAGACAAACAGACAGACAGACAGATAGACAGATAGATAGATAGATATGGGTGGGTGGATGGATATAGATTAGATAGATAGATAGATAGATATGGATGGGTGGAGATAGATAGATAGATAGATAGATAGATAGATAGATAGATAGATAGATAGATATGGATGGGTGGATGGATGGATAGATAGATAGACAGACACAGACAGACAGACAGACACACACACACTCCATTTCAACCGTGCGTCAATTGGGTACATATTCATGTGCTTCCAATTTATAATTAATACTTTCCTTGTCAATATAACACTACAACAACAATCACATTTTCACATGAATAATATCCAGTGTATCTGTTTTACCCTCTTCTCTCATTGCTTTATATATACATCTAATCCATTTTAATTTATTTTATTTTCTAACCATTGGTAAAATAAATCCCATACCATATAATACTCAGATTCTTCTTTTTCTTTAATTTCCAACGTTAACCTATTCGTTTCTGCACATTTAAATATTTTTTTTTTTCAATAACTTTTCCCTTTGTTTATCTTGTCACTTTTCCAATTCTGAGCAAATACAATTCTAGCTGCTGTTAATACATGTACGATTAATTAAAGTCTTTTCTTTACTAAAACCTTCAGGTAATGTTGTTTAATCATTTTTTCCAACCGTGCGTACTTACTAAATTTATACGCCACTTGTCTCCCTTTCAAATCCCACCTTCCGCTCACTTGACTTTGGGCAGTTTACAATCTCAAAGTAAAATAAATAAGAATTTGAGTGTTAAAAAACAGGACCCCCCCAACGCAATGTGCGCCGCCCCACCCCCTTACCTGCACTGCGCATGCCTCCCAGCTGATTTTCGGCCCGTTTGAGGCCGTTTTCGTCCTCCCGGAGACTCAAGGGGAAGCCTCTGCCAACTCGGGAGGCCGAAAAACAGGCCCGTTTTCAACACTTCTGGTATTTCCAGCAGGCCCGTTTTTCGGCCTCCCGAGGCCGCAGAGGCTTCTCTCCTGCCTCTGGGAGGGCGAAACAGCCTCAAACGGGCAGAAAACCATCTGGGAGTCGCGCGCATGCACAGCGCAGGGAAGTTTGGGTGGGGCTTGCGTGCCCGCACAAATGGCTCTGCGTGCTACAGGTTCGCCATCACGGCTCTAGACGTCAAGGGGCCTTGGAGGCGCCAAGGCGAAACCAGGCAGAGAGCGAAGCCCCATCCAGATGCCAACTGCCGCTCCTCTGGGAAGACGCCTGCGTAAACGGCACGAGACGCATAAAATATCTCAGTTGAACTCTCCGCTTGTGGCTCTGGCTGTTGGCGCCTAACGTCGTGTCTTCCGTTTGCTTCTTAGGATGGCCCCAGAAGTGATCCTGGCCATGGACGAAGGGCAGTACGACGGTAAAGTTGACGTGTGGTCTCTCGGGATCACCTGCATTGAATTAGGTGAGCCCCCTGCGGGGGTCTTCTTCGATCTCTGCTACCTGCTGCTTCACGGACCAGCCCTCAGCGGGCACCCAGGGATCCACAACCGCTGCGCGCCGTTTAAAAGAGATCATCCATAACTCGAAAAGGAAACAAAAGGGCCCCCCAAAACCCCCCTCCTCACTAGCACCCAACACCCAGATAATCAGAGAACAACACTAAGATTTACACTAGACCCAAGTAACCAAGCTGTAAACAACGCCCCAGTCAAGGAACCACCAACTTAAGACCATCAACTGGTAAACAACGGCCCAATAAGGAGCCACCAAGAACTCTCCCATTGACAATGATAAGGCAAGCCACGTATATAAAGTGAGAGCAAACCCCTCTCCCTGCTGACACTGATGCTGTTACCTAGTTGGGTCATGAAATGTCCACAAGAAATCAAATACACTCAGAAAGGCTAGAGCAGGGGTGTCCAACCTTGGCAACTTTAAGACTTGTGGGCTTCAACTCCCAGAATGGCTGAGGAATTCTGGGAGTTGAAGTCCACAAGTTTTAAAGTTGTCAAGGTTGGACACCCCTGGGCTAGAGGATCTCACAGTCGTCATCCTCCTCATCCCTCCCTCCTTCCTTCCCTCCTTCCCTTTTTTTTTGGTTAAAGTGGTATGCAGCCCATCTTTCTCTACCAAGCGCATGTTCAGGTTAAGGTAAAGGTTCCCCTCGCACATGCGTGCTAGTGGTTTCCAGCTCTAGGGTGCGTCGCACATCTCCCTTGCAAAGCCGAAGAAGAGCCAGGCGCTGTCCGAAGACGTCTTTGTGATCATGTGGCCGGCAGGACTAAACGCTGCCCCAAGCGCACGGAACGCTGTCCCCTTCCCACCAAAGGGGTCTCTATTTTTTTATTTACATTCTCTCTCTTTTTTTTTTGGCATGCTTTCAAACTGCTCGGTTGGCAGAAGCTGGGAGAAGGAACGGGAGCTCACTCAGTTATGCAGCACTAGGGATTCGAATATATATATAAATATAACAGGCAGCGGTGGGGTATAAAACATCCGACCTTAAAACAGGGATGTCAAACTCAAGGCCCGTGGTCTGAATCCGGTCTGTGGGATGTTTAAAACTGGCCCACAGGGCCACCCTGGTAACAGTGAAGGACCTGTGTTAGGGATACACCCTAGCAGAATCCGCACGGTAGGCAGGCAGGCAGGCAAAATATGTGAGATAAACGTTTTTGTAGCTTACACTCAGTAAAAACAGATACACTGTGTTAGTTAAATAGTTTATTCCAGTAAGAGTTATAGCATAGTAAACAGTCCATATATCATTCACTAATTCAGTCCGTCCGGGGATTATTCAGTTGCAAAGTCCAGTGTCGAAAAAGAGGTCAGTAAACTTACAAATATCAGTCCAGTAATATATCTCCTTGCAGTAGAGATATGAAGAAGACAAACCTCCTTTCTTCCTCCAACGTTCAGCAACTCAGCAGTAGGGAACTCCCAGTTAGCAAACCATCAATCCATCAAACCAGCAATCATCAGGAATCGCCAGCAGGTTCTCTTGCTCCCTCTTATGACGGTTTCACAACCGCACCCAAAATTCCATGCTTTGCAGTTTAAAGTGACACACACTTAAACTTACTATCATAGTTTATATATATTATTTTACCCAAACTACGTTAGGTACCCTTGTTATTCCTGACAACCTGTCTGCAGTGCCTCTTGCCAGGCCCTCCTGAGCTCCATTTTTGTTGGCGGAGGGTTGCAGGAGGCCGTCCCAGCCGAAAATGAAACTCAGGACCCCATTTTCGCTGGCAGAGTGCTCGGGCCACTATAGGTGCCCACGACACGAGTAACGTTGAGCCGGCCAGGCCCACCCTGGCCACATCCCCAAGGTCAAACACAACCCTGATGCGCCCTGTTGTGACCCACCAGTGGCTGACGGAGCTGGCAGCTGAGTCAGGCGGTAGCAAGGAGGTTGGGGTGAAACCTGGGCCTTTCCTGAAGGCTGTGGAGGACTCTGCGTCAGAGGCAGAGATGGAGCCAGGGCGGGCCGACAGTCATCAGCTGCCTTCAGGCTCAGACAGCAGTGGGAGCTTCTGGAACCGAGACCTCGTCCGAGCCTTCCTCACCCTCCAGGATTGGCCCCAGTTCCTCCCCAACCTCCTCGCTTTTGGACTCTGCTGCCAGCTCCGTCATCCGCCGGCAGGCCACAACACAGCCCTGAATGAAGTCAAGTTTGACACCCCTGCCTTGAAAGGTAGGCCATTAAAATTGATACTAAAGCGGATAAGATCTCACCTTATCTCACCTTCCGTCATGCCCTTGTGGGAGTCTGATTCCGAGGGGGGGATTAAGCAGCTGACGGGGAGTGGGAGTGTGGCCCCAGTGGCTGTGGAAGAAATGGGGGATGGGCAAAGTCCAGAGGAAGACCCAGGCCCATCCTCTCTTTAACCTAGGGAACGCAGGGAGGAACAGAGAAGGAAGCAACATGGCTTGTTGGGAGAGAAAGGGGCCCTGATCCCTTTCATTAATTGCAGCTGGGAGAACAGGATATAAGTGGGGTGTTTGCACACAGCTCCTTGCTTGGAAGCAAAGCGTGCATTATCATTGTTGAGGCTTATCTGGGTTTTGGCGTTTGCAATTGATCAGCCTGGCCTGCCATGTTAATTACTTCAGCTTGGTTTGTGTTGTTTTTTTAAAATTTCTAATTATCTTTACTTTGGGTTCGGAGTGCATTTCTGCCCTTCGTAGACTGTTTTTTTGGAAGAGTTTGTTATCCAGCCAAGGATAACTGGACATTGGGGCCTCAGTTGGAGGCATTAAAGGGAATTTATTCTACTTTTGTGCTTTTTTTTTATTTTTGTCTCACGCCCCTTTGGGTCATCACACCTTCATCCTCTAAATTGGGGGTCCTTAACACACGCACCCCCCCTCCCCCGGGTTATGGACTGGTACCGATCTGCATCCCATTGGGAACTGGGCCGCGTAAGCGACGGGCGAGCATGCAGATCTCCATTTCCCCACGCGTGGGATTAGGTGGCCTGCGCGAAACCATCCCCCTCCCCCATCCAACCCGCCTTTGCCCCCGCCAATCCCCGGAGCCACAGAAAAGTTGGGGACCACAACCCTTAATCGTTCACGGCCCACAGATCTATTTGGCACAACAGCCTCTTTTAAGGCGGGGCGGTTTTCTGTGCTGGGGGCCAAAGTGGGGGGACTTGGGAGTGGAAGTGATTGCGTTTGTGGGTCTTTCTCATTCCCCCCCCGGGTCTTAGGGACAGGAGGGGGGGAGCAATGGGGGGCGAGAAGGGAGGCGTCCCCAGCAGTCTAAAACCCGCCCTTTTCTCTTTCGCACAGCGGAACGGAAGCCTCCGTTGTTTAACATGAACGCCATGAGTGCCTTATATCACATAGCGCAGAATGAATCCCCCCTCCTCCAGTCCAGCGAGTGGTGAGTCGGGCGGGTCTCGGAGGGGGGAGTGGAAGAGGTTGGGGACTGAGCTGAGCCCTTGGGAGGAGTGGCCCCCTCAGATTGGCTGGCTTATCTGTCTATCATCATCGTGCCTACCTACCTGCCCACCTATCCTCTCTCTCTTAACATATAGCTGTCTATATACGTCATATCTCTTCTGTCTGTCTCTAAGGTATATCATCTATCTGTCCATATACACTATCTACCATTATTTATCTATATCTGTCAATCAATTTATCATCTATATTTGTGTATACATTGTCTATCCATCTGTCCACCTACCCACCTACCTATCTGTTTGTCTGTCCATCCATCCACCTGCCCACCTATCTACATATCTCTGTCTGTCTGTCCATCCATCTATCATCCATCCATCCATCAATCCACCCACCTACCTATCACTGTCTCTCCATCTATCCATCCACCTATCTACCTACCTCTATATCCATCCATCCATGCACCCACCCACCTACCTACTTACCTATCTATCCATCCACCTATCCACTTACTTACCTATCTCTGTTTCTATCCATCCACCCACCCACCCACTCACCTACCTACCTACCTATCTTTGACTCTGTCTATCTGTCTATTCACCTATTCACCTACCTACCTACCTATTTCTGTCTGTCTATCCTTATCCATCACCTGTCACTCTCTGTCATCTATGAATCAACCTGTCAATAGACCGTGGATTCTAGTTCTGCCTTCGCCACGAAAGCCCCCTGGGGGACTTTGGGCCAGTTCCTCTCTCTCTCAGCCCAGCCCACCTCACAGGGTTGTTTTGGGGAAAAGAGGAAGGTCTGTTGTCCATCTTCACCACCTTGAGTTATTTGTAAAAAATAATAAAGGTGGGATAAAAATCAACAACTCTTATCATCTGCCTATCATCTATATCTCTCTATATAATCACCTATCATCTACCAGTGTATCAATCCATCTACTGTCTGTCTGTTTATCATGGCCCTCCTGGCTTCTGAGCGTAGTCTTTCCTTCTCCAGCTTTCCCCACACTTCTAAATGGGGCGGAAAAAAAAACCCTATCCCCTCCTGCTCTAGTGTCACCGCACCCTCGTTGGTTAAAAAAAAAAGCTGTAGAAATCTCTAGAGAAAAATGAAGTTGAAGTCTGAAGCCTGATTTAAATCAATGTTTCTTTCTCTCCCCCCACCCCGCCCCAATCCCTTCCCTCTGCAGGTCTGATTATTTCCGAAACTTTGTAGATTCCTGTCTCCAGAAAATCCCCCAAGACAGACCAACGTCCGAGGAACTCCTGAAGGTTGGTCCAGCCTTGGTCCCTCCCCTTCAAGGCATGTTTTCCCCCCAAAATAAGACCTAGTGTTCTGACCAAGGCTTCCTGAGTCCGTAATTAAGCACCCGCTTAGTCCAAACAACTCTCGTTTTATTTCAACACTGGGAATTATGTTCCTTCCCAGCCCATAATGACTCCCAGACAGTTCCTCGAGATAAGCACCCACCTTTCTCTCCTTTGAATCGCTACCAACAACTAAAGTGCCAAATGAATGATAAAAAACCAACCGAAGTACAAAGTCCACATAGAGTTCCAAGTATTAATCTGAAGAGAACGAACAACCTTGCTTCCTGCAAAGGTTTCTCTACCTTTGCCTGTCCTTTATCCCTTATGGGAGGGGCAATCACCTCCCAGCCTTACTCCGTTGTCTCGTCTTTTGTCAAAGCTGCTCTCGCCTTCTGGCAGCTCTGCGCACATGCGCACTGGGAACAAGCTCCCCTGGGTCCTCTACCTCGCTGCTGCCAGGCTCTGAAGGCAGCACCCCACTCCCCGATGTCCCTGGTCCCATCCCTGCATCGGACGCAGAACCCTCGCCTGAGTCCTCCCCAGACTCCCGGACTGGTCCCTGTTCTTCCCGCCTGTCCGATTCCGCTGCCATCTGCACAGGCTGCCGGTGAACCACAACCCCTAGCGTGTTTTTTTTGCAAGCGAGCCTAATATAAGCCCCACCCCAAAAAATAAGCCCTATTTAAGCCTCTGCATAGCCGCCCATTTTGTGTGGTTGCTCGCGGTGCCACCAACGCGAGGTGAGGTGGGTGGAGCTGCCCCACACGTACACCGGCATACCTCAGCCAGGCCATCCACGCCCCCGACAACTGCCTCACGGCGACAGCACCAACGGGTCATGTGCATCAGGAGCCGGCGTGGCTGCCGTCCCATTGCTTCGGCTTGCTCGCGGGAGCAGGAGGACGAACGACACGCCGGTGCTGCAGTCGCGAAGCGAGGAAGTTGTCGGGGCGTGGATGGCGTGGCTCCGTGGGGCAGCTCTCCTCTCTCCCCACCTGCCTCATGGCCACGATGCCGACATATCGCTGGGCCCCCCATATACGGGGAACAAAAATAAGAAACCTCCCAAAAAAAGCCCTAGTGCTTATTTTGGGGGCCCAAAAGAAAATAAGACAGGGTCTTATTTTCAGGGGAACCAGGCAGTTGTGGGGATTCTCTCTTTTGTTCTGGCTTTTACATCCCTTCTTCTCTACCAAACCCAAGCCCACCTCTGGAACTCGGGGTCTGCGTTAGAGCTTTCCCCGGTTTTCTATGAGTCTTTCGACCCTGAATGCATCCTTGCTGTGCCTCAGTTTCCCAGACTTCCCCTCCCTACCAAGATCTGGGAGGATGAGAGGCCCATCCCATCCCACAATGCCGGCTTGGGCTGTTCCAGGAGAGAAAGGGTGCAGGTAGACCTCCACTTACGACCACAATTTGAGTCCCAAGTGCCCGTTGCTAAGCAAGGCAGCCGCTCAGCGACTTTGGTCCCATTGGATAACCAGTTTTCACATTTATGACCATCGCAGCAGCAGCATCCTCCTGGTCACGCGATCAAAACTGGGGCACGTGGCAACCAACCTGTGCTTGCGACGGTTGCAGTTCCACGATCTCTTTTTGCGACCTTCAATTAACCACCGTTATTAACAACTGCAATAATTCAGTTGGCAACTGGAGGGCAGGAAAGGTCGTAAAACAAGGCAAAGCTCACTCAGCCACTGTCTTGCTCAGCAACAGAAACTTCGTTTTGATTGTAAGTCAAGGACCAGGGCATCCCACTGCCAACTCATAAAATATTTCTAGGGTCTTTGCAGAGTTGCCATAACAGAAAGGGTTGGGGGAAGCAGCGTGGCAGCTTGCTAACCAAAACTGCATTCCATAAATGTTGTTTTTCAAAGATAGTAACTAGGTGACTGAAGTTTCTGCCTTGTAAAATTCTAATTGGAGAGCCTGATTGATGACTCTGGGCTATGGATGTGTCCCATTGGAGGATATGAATGACGATACGCCCAGGGGTTGGAGGGGGAAACCAGGGTCAAGGGTGACAATGAATGACGTGTCTCAGAGTCGGCTGCACCCAGGCGGTGCCGGCATGTTAACTCCACCAATAAATTCATTTGAAGTTCTGGAAGTTTGGCTCGAGATTCGGGATTGAAATCGGTTTAAGGGCTGGAATCCTGACCTCCACACTGTTTCAGGATTCCGGATCTAGGCTCTCCCCTGGGACTTGGTTTCCCCTCTGGGTAGCCTTGGGGAGCGGGCTAACCCTGATTGGCTTTCCTTGTGCCCTGCATCGCAGCACGTCTTTGTGGTCCGAGACCGCCCGGAAACCGTGTTAATAGACCTAATACAGAGAACCAAGGACGCCGTGAGAGAGCTGGACAACCTCCAGTATCGCAAAATGAAGAAGCTCCTCTTCCAGGAGGCCCACAACGGACCAGCAGTGGAAGCCCAGGAGGAGGAAGAGGTAGGAGGGGACGATGGGCTCTGGGCCTCTGGGTGCTCTCTCAGCTGGGTGGTTTTCTGGCAGGTGACGTTGTTAGTACTAGAAAGGAGGAAGGTTGCAAGGAGGAGGGGGAGGAGAAGAGGGAGGGGAGGGGAGGAGGAGGAAGAGGGAGGAGGGGAGAACGGCCTCTGAGCTGGGTGGTTTTCTGGCAGGTATTTCATTACCCAACGAGGTGGCATCCTCCGTGCTAGAAGGGAGCGGGTTTAGCCGGAGGAAAAGGCAGCCATGACTCTGGGGTTCCTCTTGTTCTTTGAGCTTCGCGGTTTTACTGCATAGACTTTTCATTACCTGACTAGATAACAACACCAGTGCTAGGAGGAAGGGGCTGTGCAGAGCGGAGGATAGTGAGAAAGAGAAGGGGAAGGATGAGGACCAGGAAGGCCTCGGTCCTCTCTGAGCTTGGTTGTTTTCTTGTAGACATTCCAGCTAGGTGACCTCGTGGGTGCTGGAAGGAAACGGGTTTGGCGTTCTCTGAGACGTCTAGCACAGTTGACGTTAACTTATTTGGGCCATGAAACATCAGCAGGAAAACAAGCAAGTTCAGAAAGTGCCAAGAACCCCACAAGTTCTGCTCCTCCTCCTCCTCTCCTTCACTACTACCTCCTCCCCCTCCTGTTGATCCCCCTCCCTCCCTTCCAGCATTGAGGAGGTTACTGTTCTGACCTAGGCTTCTCCAACAGCATGAAGCCAACTTGATAAACCCCTTTTACTTGATTTACAATGAATTTCCTCTCCAACCAAGTCCCAGCCAACCGTCTTTCAAGATTACAGACCTTTTATCAGGCCCGGAGAGCTGCCAGGCCGGTATCTTTCAGATGCCGCGATACTTGGCGAGCATGCCGGAATGAAGTCATGGTCTCCTGCAAAGCCCCACTCCCCTTGCGTTCCTCTTTTATTCCCTATGGAATATTCACCATCTACCTCAGCCCTTACTCCGAGTCGACCTTTGTTCTTTAGCTTTTTCCCTTCTTCTAGCAGCTCTGTGGATGCGCACAGTGGGAACAGGCTCCCGCTGTTCGTCTTCCCCACTGATCTCCGACTCCAAAGGCAGCTGATAACTGTCGGACGGCCCTGGACCCATCTCTGCCTCCGATGCAGAGCCCTCCGACACAGAGTCTTCCCCAGACTCCAGGACTGACCCGTGTTCCTCCCCAACTTCCTCGCTGTCCAAGTCTGCCGCCAGCTCCAGTGGCTGCTGGTGGGCCGCAACGGTTACGTAGTGGGTAACCGTTGCGGAAAACCACCAAGCTCAGCGGGGCCCAAGGACTCCCATCTCTGAGCATATAATGACTATAAATACTCCGGATACAGATATTCTTTTCTATTCGAGGGTGGGCTAGATATTCCTTAAGGTAGAGAGTAGCTGGCACCCCCCCCCAGATGGAGGGCAAGGCTCATTATGGGCCCCATCAATCCCAACGGGGCTCAGGCCAACTGAATTATCGCTCCTGTTATTGTATATATATACAGGAAGTCCTCAACTTACAACCACGATGGAGTCCAACATTTATGTTCCTCCGTGAGACATCCGTGAAGTGAGTTTTGCCCCCTTTTACGGCCATGGTTGCTAAGCAAATCACTTCAGTCGTTAAGGGAGAAACGCGGCGGTTCAGCAAATCCGGCTCCCCCCCCATTGAGCTTGCCTCGTCGGAACGTCGCAAAAGGGGTCCCATTAACCCAGGGCCCTGCAACCGTCATAAATACGAGCCAGGGGCCAAGCGTCTGAATTCTGACCATGGGGGAGGCTGCAACTGCCATAAGTGTTATAAACGGTCTTTAAGTCACCTTTTTTTTCATTGCCGTTTTTAGGACTTCGGGCACTAAATGAACCGCTGTAAGTCGAGGACTCCCTGTTGTCAACTCATAAAATATTTCTATGGTCTTTTTAGAGTTGCTAACAGAAAGGGAGGGGGTGACCAGTGCAGCAGTTTGGAAACTGAAAGTGCATTCCATAAAGGTTTTCAAAGAGCGTAACTAGGTGACCGAAGTTTCTGCAGCGCAAAATTCTTTTTTTAAAAAAAATAGATTTTATTAAAATTTTACAGTTTTAAAAAAACACAAATCACATTTACAATTCTTGCAATACATTGTAGCATCGTTTTTTTCGTAGCATTATTTATATCTATATACATATATTATACGTTATTCATATTTACATTATATGTTATCTATTATTCCTATTATCTATTCAAGTATATAAATTCTCCCAGACCGTATAGAATTCTCTTTTTTCCTTCTCTTGCAACTCCATAGTAAGCTTATTCATCCCCGCACAATCCATAATTTTTCTAATTAATCTATTGCCTGCGGGATTACCTTCCGCTGTCCAATGTTGAGCATAGGTTATTCTCGGAAATCGAAAGTGCATTTCCATACGTTGTTTTTCAGAGAGAGTAACTAGGTGACTGAAGTTTCTGCGGCACAAAATTCTAACTGGAGAGCCTGATTGATGACTCTGGGCTAGGGACGTGTCCCATTGGAGGATATGAATTACGACACACCTAGAGGGGTGGGGGGTGAGGAAAACCAGAGTCAAAGGTGACAATAAATTACGTGCCTCAGAGTCGGCTACACCCAGGCAGTGCCGACATGTTTACTCCTAATAAATCCTTTGGAAGTTTGGCTCGAGACTCACCTATTTAAATGCAGGTCACTGCCAGAATCCCGATACCTGTATTACGCGACTTCCTGTGGCCTGGGACACCCCTGCTCTCAACCCTTCCCTCTCTCTCTCTCTCTCTCTCCCCTCCTCCAGGAGCAAGACCCCAGCATGGGCCGGACGGGAACGGTGAACAGTGTGGGGAGCAACCAGTCCATCCCCAGTATGTCCATCAGCGCCAGTAGCCAAAGCAGCAGCGTCAACAGTCTTCCAGACGCTTCCGACGACAAAAGCGAGCTGGATATCATGGAAGGAGACCACACGGTGATGTCCAACAGCTCCGTCATCCATCTGAAGCCGGTAATTTGGGCCGGGGAGGGAGGGGAAGGGGGGGGGCAAACGGTGCGATTCAGCTGGGGTAACAACACACGGCATTTCGAAAAGACCATTTTTAGCTATATGGCTTACTTTTTGCTGCATTCCCTGGTGTGTAAAACAGCTGATCCACGGCAAAACGGCTCTGCCACGTGAATCAGCTGTGCTCAAAACAGGAAAAGGGCCGGGGTCAAATGATCATCGGAACTACCGGTTTGTCTGAATTGGTTGACTCGCACCCCTGCCAGGGGCGGCGCTTGGTGAGAGGTTCACAACCCTTTGCTCTCAACGTTCCAGCAACCCTCCACTCCAACCAATAACTCCGAGACAGACATCTCCTCACCAGTTCCTTTTTTATTTTAAAGTTTTTTATTTTAACAACAAACAAAACAACGTAAGACATAACAACATAAAACATAAAAACATCATCCTTCTACATAAATTTACAACAGTGTATCGGTTGGTTTACCACTTTTTTTTGGTGCATCCATTTCCTAACCGCTAATATAATTATATTACATAATAACTCATATTATCAATCAATAATTGTATAATCCAATATCATCACTAAGAAATCGTTTATCTATAATTTTATTAACTCTAATGAGATAACTATAATTTACTTAATTTATTTTGCAATAAGTCATAAGATCATACCAAATTTATCTTAATAAAGTTTTATAAAAATAATATCAAAAAAAAGAAAGAAAAAAAATTATATCCTAAATCTAAATTTATTACTGGGATGGCATTCTTTTCTGTGGTATAAGGGAACTAAATCGCAGGGCTACTTTAGAAGGCATTACATACGGGAATCTTTATGGTTGAATTGGGAGAAAATTAAGGGAAAATGTTATTTGAAAAACCTCACAAGTTCCTTTTATTTGGATAGTAACTGGCACAGCCGGGGAATCCCGAATCTGAAAGTTCTGGGTCTCCTTGCAATAAGTAACAACTACAAAATCCACCCCCTGCACCCTTCATCACATCACATGCCCCAATCACCCTCCATCCCAACTTGAGACGTCCTCTCACCCAGGTGCAGAAATAACATGACCTTGAATTAGAAAAAGAACGTTGTTATGTCTTAACTATATACGGTCCAATCAATTCCCCCCTCCCACTTTCCCAGGCTCAAACTGTGGCAGTGTGGGAGCACCTGGTCTCAAAGCTGACAGTTGCCAGGGGGAGGGGACAGGAAGTGACTTCACACAGGTCAAGATGGACGACCTCATGTCATCCTTGGTTCTCTCCAGCTGGCTTGTTTTCCTGCAGGCATCTCATTAGCCAAACTAGATAACCTCATCAGTGCTAGGGGGAGAAGGAGGATGGAGGGCACCTGGGTGCTCTCTGAGTTTGGTAGTTTTCTTGCAGATCCTTCCTTATCCAAACCGGATAACATCATCGGCGCTAGCACTGCTAGCATTTGATGATGTTCCCTAGTTGAGTGATGAAATGTCTACGAGAAAATGATCAAGCTCACGGAGAAGCAAGGACATTTCAGTCTTCCTCTTCCTCCTCCTCCTCCTCCTCCTCCTCCTCCTCCTCC